ACTGAACTGTCCTGTTAGTAAACCCTCGCTTCCATAGCATGCGTAACGGACTAGTCAAGGATGAACGATATGGAGTTTTAATCCTATGTGTTTATCCCATGACGCAACGGCAAGGATGCTCTGCCCGCAGCATCCTTGCTCGCAGGTGGAGCATAGCGATTTTGGATTCCCACCGTCCTTCCCCTTACTCCGCCTTTCTCCTTTTCTGCCTGTGTGCTCCCAGTTGATCCATTGGAATTGGTCCTGGTCGAGCTTGCATCTGCACTGTCTGTCCTCCCCGTGATCCACTGGTCTTGGTCCGGGTTGATTGATTTCTGCCTCCGTCTCCCCGTGATCCATTGGTCTTGGTCCGGGTCGAGCCCTTTTTCCTGCTCCTGGTGATCCATTGGTCTTGGTCCCAGTCGAGCACTCTCTGTCCGCCCGCTCCCAGTGATCCCTTGGATTTGGTCCTGGTCGAGTAGGTAGGCACACCTTGTGTGAATTCTGCTTGCCTTGAATCTCCGTCCGTCGGATTTTCAGGCATCAGAATTCCATCCTTGCTGCACTGCCCGTAGGTCAGGTAGACTTTTCTGTCTGTAGGGCTTGCCAAGGACTTTTCTGTTTGCCAACTGCGTCAAAAAGAGAGTGCGTATCTCAAGGGTTTACTGAACTGTCCGTCTGTTAGTAAACCCTCGCTTCCATAGCATGCGTAACAGACTAGTCAAGGATGAATTCCTGCATTTGTCAGCCTGATGGAGGTCGCATAGTGTGCCCCGAAGAGTGAGTCTCAGCGCAGAAAATCAGAGCATATTTCCCTGGTCTAGGCTTCAAAGATTTCGCAGAAAAGGGGCGCTAAAGTTTGAATACAAAGCTGTCTCCAAGTCCTAGGAATTTCATCCCCCAATATATTTCCAATGTAAAACAATGCTACCCTGTCCTTAGGAACCATGTAGGCGTCTATGTAGGGTGTGTCTTCGTGAGGACTGGTCCGCCATCTCATTGGCCAAGCACTACCAACATTAAGTATGATGCTAAGTAATGCTAGTCTTCAAGCCCCGAACCCAAACCTGAACCTAGCACACTGAACCCATATGCTTTGCCTTGGAGCAACAGTTCCCCTTTTGACTTTACCGAATGGCTATACAATTTCATCTCAGCAATGCTAGTAGTATGGCCGATCAGACGTGTCTCGAGGCATCACGCCCCAAGACCCCTGACCTCCGGCCCCTTCCTTCAGGCCCTTCTTGAATCAGATCAACGCATGACTTGAGGTATATTCTGTAAGGAAAAAAAAAGGTTTTGGACCCAACCCGAACCCTGAACATTTCAGCCGAGACTCAAACCAGAAAAGCCCGATGATGGGATGCGTATCTCATGCCAGCTGTGCCCTGGACAGCGACTACTCGATCACGCTGAAAACCGCCCGAAGGCCTTCAGACCCGGACTTTAGGTTCTCGGGTTTGGAGTTTAAGTTTGCGGGTTTCCCTAGTCAGTTATATGTTTTCATGCCTGTCTGGCTGTGGGGTGGAAATCCAGGATACCACATTTTTATTTAGCTTTTGCTTCACCACTTCCCGTTTAGCACGACAAGATGAACAGAAACGAGAACCGCATCCTGCAGCAATGTATTGGACTTGAGCCAACCACTCCTGCTCTGTCCTCCATGAAAACCTAAAACCCTAGGCTGCAAACCCTTCAAGTTCTACAAGTTCCCATCTCCTTGTTGACACGTATTCTGTCATCCAGTCTGCCCCACCGAGCGTTCTCCAGGCTGCCCTCCGAGAGCAACAACAAGAGCGGGGAGGTTGCGTCATGCTCAGCCTTCTGGTCCAGCTGTCCTTGCATAAGTGGCCTACACTTTGGGATGTAGGTTTTCGGATTCGGGTATCAGATAGAGACTATTCTGAGAGTTGCCTCCTGAGCTATATACCAGTTTTATTACTGATGCTATTTGTAGCCTGGCTCAGGGTGCATGACACGACTTGCCATGGTGCTAGCGAATTGAGCGCCTACGAGTTTGGGTGCTGGGCTAAAGGAGGGACATGTATGCTTTTGGTTCATGTCTCTCGGAGTGTTTCAGAGACCAACGTACTGGAACCCTCGCTCTCCAGATGCCTGTCGACCGGAGGGCATAGCGAATTCATAATCGTGGAACAAGGTGAGTGAATGTTGTTTGTGTCCAGCAGGGTCTGCAGATTTGAGTGGGCTCTGAATGCATCTCTCACAAGGGTGGGCCATTCTTGTCTCGTTTGGATTGTGGATTGTTGCTTCGTGAAAACGAGCCGTATCCCACAACAATGCAGATATTGCAAGGCTGCTGGCAGGGGAACGTAATTCGCTGATCTCGTTTGTAAGTGGATAGTCACTGTGGTCCATTCGCCAATATAGTGTCTGAAGCGCAGTTGCTACTCGGGAATACGATTCCTGGGGAATTATAAGAGAACACGCCCCAAAACCCTTTTCCCTCAAGACAAGCTGGCCGTGAACGTTCCAGCCAATGCCCCAAACAGCTTAACCCGCAGACCATCAACCCAATCAATCCCTGAACCCCACCTTACAGCCTCAAACCGACACTAAGACGACAAACCCTCAAGCCCCGAACCCTCTGCGAGATCGACATGCTGGTGATCTCCGGAAAGGACTTCCTTCAGGCGTGGAAGTTGACTTACAATATCCAAATCCAAGTAATGGAGAGTTTGGGATGAGTGTCCCCTCGATCGAATTTCTTGCATACTTCTAGTACATGCCGCAAACTAGCAGTATTCTTGAACACCAAAATCTCATTCTACTCCGTTCGGGCCCGTACGTTGCCTGGGAGTTCTGTGATGGGTGGTAACCTGGCCTCTTCATTTACCAGTGCCTCAGAAAGAGTACCCTTCGAGGGGATCCCTTCCTGGATTCCCGGCTCCGGCTGAATGGTGTTGGAGTGAGGCTCTCCAGTTCTCTGGCTCAGGCCTGTGGATTTTCGGGGTCCAAGTAATTCATTACTGTCCGGATCTATACTACTGCGAACAACCACGGGCACTCCATGCGACGGCCCCGCCGGTGTATTGGGTGGTTCTGGAGAGGTACCCTGAGCCCTAACAGACGAGCCTATGTCAGCGAAATTGGGAACGCTTGATTGAGGAACCCTACGCCATATGAGCGACCGCCTTTATTATCGTGTAGGCGCCAAGATCAGGCAGAGATAGCTGTATTCAGAAGCTGCCAAGAAACTTCAACGGTGTCACCTTTTCGGTGGTCACACCGCTTTCCAGGGCTTGGTCATGCTGCAGTTTTGACATAAATTGCTTTGCAGTGGTTTGAAAGAAGCCGCCTTGCCTCATTTGTGGGTGCTCGTATGATTGTTTGGTGGGAGCTATTGTTTTACTTGAGTATTGTTCATGATGGGATAACTTACGCAGCTTCTGCAGGCTTGTCAGTTGATGATTTAGGGGGTAAGGGATATAGCTACATTAAAATGATCCCCTGCAGAGGTTTCGGCCATGAATGTGCCGCCACCGTCCGGAAACGACGGCGAAGGCACGATCCAGACCAGGTTTGAGTTTGCAAGTCGGTTGGTTCAATGTTGGAGTTTGCGAAGTTAAGTGGGCAGAATGTGTGCGGTAGCTTGCGCAGGATGGTGTGTTAGAGCTGTTTAGATGAGGAGAGGCTAGCATCCTTTTGGAGGAGACTTGCTAAGCCTGTTTCGATTTTCAAGCTTTCTGGTGGTCCTTGGGTTCTTCTGATGGTATATGATGTTGCCCTGTCATCGGAGAGGTTGGGAGTGTCGTCCAGGGCTTGGCGACCTGCTGAAACAAAATCCTGGTCTTCAGGTTCCCATCCGTGGAACGTGCTGAAGAAGTTTTCTCACCTTACCTCAAGACCTTGCTCCCGTTCATGGTGGATCGAAGTCCATCCTGCAGTGTAGCAGTCAAAACACTATGACCTGTCCGGAGAGGTAGAAAGCAAAGTGCATGCAGACATGCGCTCAGAGCGATACGTACTGCCAATTGTTTTGGAAGTCGCAGGCCGCAAGGGCTTCGCTACGGATGCAGAGATCAGCGGGACTGGGGCTTTGCTGCGGGCTTGCTGTCTGCTTCTGGCTTCTGGTGTGTGTGTGTGGCAAGGAATGGATAGTAGGACTGTAGAAATTGTGCAAATACCTCTGTGCCTTCCTTCAACTCCTACTACCCAAGGCTAGGCCAGGCATACGGTTGACCTGCACGGAACATCCGCTGAACTCCAGAAGACAGACCATACAAAACCATTCAAAGGGCGGAGAGTCTCAGTTCAGGTTTTAAAGTTTGAGGTTTACTCCTCGAAGTTAGGAGCTGCAGACCTTGTGATCTGCCAAGGTATCGCCCGTTCATCCTCCCCATGTAGAGACAGGGTAAATTGCCGCATTTAAAGTGATCTCCTCTTAGACAAATCGGCCCTTGGAGAACACATTAGAGACCGGCATCCGCTGAAACCTTCTTTGTGCTCAAAGTAGGCTCCGAAGCCTGGAGAGTCTTGTGGCTTCTGGTAACAATGTCTATTCGTCCTTGCGACTGAGACAGTAGTGCTGGTGATAAGAGAATGGTAAAACCAGTAATTGCAGTGATGCGGTGCATTTGCAACTTTGAGGTCACATGCTCCCCAAGACATGGAAAGTTGCACGTGCTGCTGGAAAAACTCATCACGGTAAGGCACCAATGGATAGTTATGTTCTCTGGCACGATCCCCAGATGGAAGGCAGGAGTTCCCTCAACGTTGGTTGGTGAAACGGACCTTTCCAGACCAGTAGAAGTAAACAGATGGGCCCCTGCAATGGTGCGGGAGCTTGTCACGCTTGCGCCTGCCAATCATGGCGGCCGGAGCATCCAGGTTCCGGCGAGCGAAGGGAACAGTTCCCTCAAACTTGGCTCCGGCACCGAAGCCCCTGCAGCCAGATTCTGGATGGGAGCTCATCTTTGGCGAGGATGTAGCTCTGGCTTGACTTGTCAATTTTCTATGTGTGTGTGTGAGGTGCAAGGATTGATTACGTTTTTGGAATTCAGGTGGAGAATCCCGAAGTGCTGGAGCAGCACAGATTTGGTCTGCAAATGGCACTCCTGGGCCAGGGTACGCCTGAAGGCTTCGTTGACCATGAGTTTCCAGCCCAGGCGCGGAGCATTGATGGCCTGCAGGGCCCGGCAGTGCGCCGGGGCCAAGAGACATTGATGGAGCTGCTCAAGACCGTTGACCAAGAGGAGGACGAGGAGGATGAGGAAGCGACTCCAGATGCACCGCGCTGCCCCTGCGGCCGGCGATCGCGTCAAGGCCGGATCCAGCTTCCCGGAATCGTGGCCAGGCGACCCTACTTCCGCTGTGCTGCGCGGAACTGCCGCTTTTTCAGCTTCGGTGAGCTCTCTGCCACCCCGGAGGCCCAGGCCCTCTCCTGGGTGCGGTTGCGCACTGTGTCTCCGCACGTCATGACCACACCTGGGCAGCATTTGGTTGTGGTGGGGTGGGATGGCTTCCGGCCGGAGGATGCCCGGCTTGGTCCTCAGTGTGAGTCCTTGGGCAATGCCCTCTTCGTTGATGCATTGGCCGTGCTAACAGAGCGTCCGAGCGCCCTCCCGAAGCTCTTGCCCAATGCTACGGGAACAGCTGGCTGCCACGAGGTCCGGTTGTGCATAGAAGGCATTTGGCGAGCTCTTCTTATCGATGAGCGTATGCCCATGGTGCCTTCCAGCTTGGACAAGAAGAACTTTCATGAGCTGCTGGCCTTTGGGCGCTGTGCGGGGAACCAGCTTTGGATCCCTTTGCTGGAGAAGGCCTATGCCAAAGCGCACGCATCTTATCAGTTCGCTTTTCCCGGTACGCCTCTGCATGTTTTCCTGGAGGAACTGACTGGCAGTGTCGTCGAGCAAGTGGACCTGGGTAAATCAAGCCGCACCAGTGCAGGAGAGTGCCTGGATCCCAGTGAGCTTTGGGACTACATGTTGCGTCACCAGCGCCAGGGCACCCTGCTGGCTTGTGTCTCTCGGCTCCCATTGCAGACCTCCTCCCCTTCCGCTTTCGCAGTGCTGGACATGATTGAGGGCCAGGACAATTCCAATCGGCGTGGTTTTGGGGTGCCGGGGCGCGCTGTTCGCTTGAGGAATCCGCGTGTAACTGGCGCAAATGCGGCTGCAGTGTATGAGCGCATCCTGACTCTGCTTCGCGGAACGCCAGCCGAGGCCTCCACATATGACACTTCGTCGCATCTAGAAAGTTGATTGGTGAGTTCTTGGTGGAGCTGCATATGCAGTACATGACTGCTGCAGTTGCAGTCGCATTTAGATAGCTTCTGTGCAAGATAGATTCGAGGTGTGTTCATGTTTTGAACTAGCGCAAACTAACAGTGAGCATTGTATGATCTTGCTACAGTTCCGATATCATCCTTGCGAATCAGCATGGCAATCCCACATATGCGTGTATCATCTCTTTATCAACCTTGGTTGAAAGTCCTGGATGATTCCCAGGCAGATGGGTCCTTCTGGGTGCAGTTTACCGACTTCCTTGCGGCCTTCTCCCAGGTTTGTATCTGCCATGCCGCCTCCACAGGAGCCATTTTGAAAGTTCTCTGAGCTCTAAGGCCTAAACCCTAAGTGCTAGACCCTAAGCTCCGGACAAACCTTAGACCAACTAGTTCTGCAGCGGACCCCCAAAAGAGAGAGGACACTTCAGGGACCTCGGCCATGCTCCTTCTAATGCAGTCCCCCCAGAGCCCTATTCTATCCTAAGATACCTTAGAGGATTGATTGGCAGTGTGGTTGCTGATGACTACCAGTGCTTTTAACTATTATGGAATCGGCCCCAAAATTCGCATACTCCAAGCTCTGCACTAAAAAAAAGTATGGCCCACAGGGGGATCGTTGCTGCACACCCGGACCTTCGAGGGCGACTTCACGCCGGAGCGAGGTGCCGGGATCCGGGGCTGTGGCCTTCGAATCTCCGCGTGCCTTAGCTGTGCCAGCAGTTGGAGAGTGAGGAATTGTATGGATTTAGGCAATACGTGAGGTTGTGTGTCATGCAGCCGGTATACTGGAGCTGCATTTGTTTTTTCTGTTTTTTTTTTGGTTCTCATTTTCTTTTTTGATTTTGGCTTTTTCGATTCTCTGTGGATTCCGCTGAGAAGACCTGAAGCCAAGGCACGCAGGCACAGAGGTTTGTGAGGTCTGGCTCTCACTGCTGCAGCCCATACCGCGCGGAGCCAGGCTGCTACAGCCAGCCATGGGGCAGGTGCCAGGGATCACGGAGAACTTTCACAGAAGAAGTCTCAATTATACTAGATCCTCAACATGGTCTTGGTGTAGGTAGTGTCAGGTCAGGGCAAGACATGGCAAGAGTGGGTTGGAAAAAGACGTGGGGTCGACTCGAGGTGTGCTTTCTCTTTGGACTGTAGCGGTTCATCAGCATAATTGATGTATTTAGAGAAGTTTTGTTGTGGACCGCAAGTAGGACACCGCAAGTAGGACACCTTAGTGCCAGCATGGGCCTTGGAATTGCAGGCACCCTTCGAAGCAGATATTGTGCGGAAGATCGTAATTAGTCGTAATAGCATTTGCAGGTATGATTTCGGCACACAAAACTACAAAAATGTTTTCAGCATGAAACAATTACGTTTTGCTTGGGCGCATGAACATATGTCTTGACCGCAACAAGTTCCGACAGATAAGGCCGCAAGCTTCCGAAGTTAGGGTCCTCATATGATGTAAGGTGGCCGCTATGTAGAAACCTGCTTAAGGGCCCATAGTTAGGCCCTAATATGCCCTAATAGTAGACTCATTTTGTGGAATGCAAAGTTTGGACTGATAAGTGTGAAAAACACACAGCTTCCTGAATTCTTGGCTTTTTAAGGGGGACGTGCAGGGTTAAGAAAACCCAAGTGCTCTTACCAGGTGCTCAATGACCTGTCTCTGGTGATCCTGAACGCGGCCAGCGGGGAGGTCCCCTGCATGGCTTTTATATGGTGGTTCAGAGTTTGCTGAAGCAGCAAGATGGCTCCTGAAATTTTGCCTCCACCGCCCAAAGGGGCTGTCGCAAAGAGGTGGTGGCTGCAGCTCTCTTCGGCGCGCGACCGAGTGCGAGCTGCCGGCTGAGGCTGCCACCGCAGCAGGCAAGAATGGCGCTTCGCAACTAGCAGGGTTTATGGTCCTGCCTCAGGTGCACAGCCTAGAAATGAGACTTATAGCAGGGTTGATGATGATGATGATGATGATGATCATGATGATGACGATTATCATGTTGTTATTGTGGGTGTGTGTAAGCTAGCACGGGTTCTCACCCACCCAAACTTAGAACAGGGTTTCATGTCCCGATGCCATGCACGATCGGGGTTGACTCACTAGTCATCATGTCACTTACGTGTCCAACTCCCTTATCATACCCTATCCCAATCCGTGTTTCTTACAGGCCCGGACCTGGGTGGTTTTGCCCTTCAGCCGCAGGGCCTGGCCGGGCCCCGTGCATTTGGGCTGCCTTGGCGGAGGGTTTGGGGGAAGTTTCGGTTTCAGGATGATGGGCCGGGTTCAGGTTCAGGCATCTTGTGGTTTGTTTGACGTTTACCGTTCAGGGTTCAGGGCTTAAGGGTCAGCATGTTGGATTTAGGACCGGATGCGCTTGACAAGAGAAGTGTGATTTTGCAAATTCGCCTACCGTGTTGGGATCGGAATGTTCTGTTTGGACTGATGCCCGTGATGCCAAAAAAGATTGAAGCGAAACGGACGTGTTGGATCTGGGTAAGAAACTCAGATCTCCTCTTCGGGCTCCTTGCGCCAGGTGTGCACGTTTCCTTGGCATTTGGCGGCCTATGAGATTGAACGGTTGAAGCACGTGCAGCATACCCGTTTGAGCTCCTTCGCCTAGCAGGCTTAGCACCCTCAGTAGCATGACCATTACCCATTCATTCCGCTAGGCTGACTGCCCCCCTTCAGAGCTCGTAATCCGTCAAAGGCTTCTTATAAAGCTTGGAACATGAACTTGCCTCAAGGCCATGGAACCCTGCAGCTTGAACCGCCCGAAAGACTTTGCGTCCTTCAACAACCTAAGCCGTCCATATGCATGCGAACCCATGAACAGCAAAGCATGAATTCAACGCCTGAATCCTAAAGCCTGGAAAGCCATCCCAGGCGGCTCCGAGTCCATGCCTCGCAGCCTGTGGAGGTCCGGCGAATCGCATCGGAGCACCTGGAGAGGCGCCTCAGAAGAACATGATGAAGGAGTCAAGCTTCCGGGAGTAAGGGTGCTTTGGGGCTGAAGGGTTTTGCGTTTGGGTGTTCGGGGTGAACGGCGCAGGATTCAAAAATTTAGAGTTTCAGAGTTTCGGGGCTTTGCCTAAGAGCCTAAGAGCAAAGGCTTTGGGCCTATAGGTTCAGGGCTTCCGTGCAGAAACCTAAATAACTACCTGTGTTGTGACAGAGATTGTACAAGGATTGTGGTTAAGGGGGAGTCTATCTAGAAACCTGAATAGTGACTGACTTCATACTTGAACTCCAAAACCGTTAATTAGCCCTCAACGCTTAAATCCTGCACCATAGCGCCCCCAAAAAGACATCCTGATCCCGTTTGAACCATGACCCACAAACTGGTGAGGGAAACGCCCTGGGAGCCGCTTTGGGCCCTGGCCGCCTCAGCATCACCAGCACCGGCACTGGGCGGTGGCCTCCGGGATGCCAGCTGCGCCGCTGGGCGAGAACAGGAAGTTGAAGCAATCCATACAGGAGTTTCGCTACAGTACTGTAAGAGAGCAAATACCTCTCCCAACAGCAAAAGACGGGTGGCCTTGGACACCTCCCATCACATCTGACCAAATCTGACCCTCGCCACATCGGTTTGATTGCCATCAAGAATCTTGAAGTATGCTGTTGGGGTGCAGGGGTTGCAGATTCGTGGTCCGGGCTTTCGTGCTGGAGGGTTCAAGGTCAGGGCATTCTTGGGTAGGGGTAATTTTGTGTATAGAGAGCGAAAGCTTGAAGAGAACAGTTGTTTTGCTTAAGATGGGCTTTGAAAGTCTTATGACGGTACTGGCTCCGGCGAGATTTCTTGATTATCACAAGACCCCAACCCCACTGCAGTGGTGTAGGTGAAGAGGGCTGTGCCCGTCGTGACAGCTGCAGGCGGGTCGGCCCTTTTCTCTGGGACGGAAATTGAACGATCTGTTGGTTGTTTTAGAGGCTTTGCATTGTGGGAGCGCTGCTTTCTGGAAGGGGTGGGAAGTAGCATCCGGCTTTTTGCGTTTCAGGTGAAAATCGTGCGGGGGAGGCGTAAAAGCAAAATCGCATGCAACTTTCAGGTCAGCAGACGTCGCTCACCGTGGAGCTGCTGGTGCTTCAGGCGGAGGGTGCCACTGTGTTACTGCTTGACAACACTCTTGCAAAACATGCTTTGCTGTTCGAAGCGGTGGTGGAGGGCAATTTTGTCGTCACGCAGACGTCTCGGGGCCCACAGCCCGGTGATTGGTGTGAAGAGAGGAATGAGGATAGCTTCGCTGCTGGTGTCCGAACACAGTGGCGGCGCTTCAAGATTGAAGATGCCGTGCGGCCGGCCTCACGTCAAATGGTCTCCATGCACTTCGCGGTGAGCTTTGAGTGGGAGACCGAAGTGCTGAGCACCAAAGCTGCTGTCGTCCCAGTGGCCATGGCTGGCGCGAGGCCCACAAATCACCCCTTTGCTCCATATGCCATCAGAGGCGAGGCTTTGTTGCCACCCGGCCTCGAGCCAGAGCCCCAGACGAGACCCTGCGCTCCTGAAGTGCAACAGCAGCAGCAGCAGCAGCAGCTCGTGCGGCCTTTCTTGCAGATGTCGTACGCGCAGGAGTCCCGGGAAGAGGCCGAGCTTCAGCTAGCCTTGCAGATGTCGCTGCAGGAGGTTCAGCTGGATCAGCAGCCAAGAAAGCGCTGGGGGCGCCGCAACAAGTCCGAAGCAGTCGACATAGATACAGGCTGCAGTTGCTCCATCTGCTGTGAGGCCATGCAGACGCCTTCGCCGTTGCAGTGCTGTGCGCAGGTTTGCTTCTCGTGCGCTTCCCATTGGGCCGCAGAGCAGGAATCCCAGGGCCTCTCTGCTATAGACCTCCGCTGCCCACAGTGCCAAGGCCAGCTTGAAGATTCTGTGTTGCGGCAGCTGCTGAGCAAGGAGGCTCTCCGCAGGGTACAGGAGCGCTTGAAGACTGCAGCACCAGCGCCACGGCCCGCGCCGCAGCTGCCCGCCGCCACACTAGCAAGGCTTGGACTGAAGCAATGCCCTGGCTGTGGGGAAGGCCTGCAGAAGGAATCGGAAACATGCCACAAGATGATCTGCCGCACCTGCCGTGCCCGCTTCTGCTTCCGGTGCCTCACGCGCTTGGAGCCTCGATCCCCCTTCAGTAAACATATTCCGAAGCAGTACACAAACTCACAGACACCAGCCATAATTATCTAGGACAAGTTTCGCCATATTGGTGGCTTCACACTTAGAACCCCTAAACACTTAATCCGAGCCAAGGAGTTCTTCAACTGCGGCTGCACAGGTGCAGAGCACCGTTTTATTGACCCGGTGGACGGCCGTGTGCTTCTACACCAATAAGTTATTATTGGAATGTGTATTCCACTACTGGGGGTATACTGTCTATATATATATGTACATATGTATATATGTATGTATGTATGTCTGTAT